CTACAATTCCTGGAGACCACAACCACGGACCAGTACACAGCGAAGTCAAGGATAATCAAATCTCAAATAGATTGTAACAAAAATAACGAATATTTTTAAAAAGATGGTAAGAAGTATTCCTAACGTTATGTTAAAGGTCACATGCAGCGTAAAGCACAACTTTGCAGATTCTGATAGCTTTCGGTATGGACTTACCGAAACAAATCATCAAAAATGCAAATTCAACTTATAAAGTTGAAAAATAACGCGATAAAAAAAACCCCGCGAAATCGGAGTTTCAACAGCTGGGCTGCGCTCATAGCACATGCGCAGTGAAATAGGTTTATTCAATACACAACTTCGATCACTGACCACATGCAATTTGAACTTAACACCTATCAGGCTATACACCATAAACAAAACGCATTGATTTATGGCCCGAGTTCGGTCTCTGTCACATTCTGTAATTACACAGACAGGCAGGTGTGATACTTGTACACATGACATATTATGATGTCTGTTGATTGCAAATTGTTATACACAACAAAATGAGCATGTATTTACGGTTCATTGCCGGCAAGGCTAAAATCGTGACTACTAACTACTAACTATGACAATACTCGGTTACATGTATCTTGTTTAATACTCTCTGTTTTACGCATGCGTGGATCGTCACCTACCAAATTTATTCAATGAAATCAACCCTCAGATCGACTTGCATCGCCGAGGTAGAGGCAGCCTGCAATTGTACAGTTAAGAGATCGTACATAATATATGGCGAGGGTGGGGTGATGATGATACTTATGGTGAACAATGCACAATGTGAATGCCCCTCACCCCGACCCAGACACTTAAATCTATATATAGTGGACCATGTCATGTACGAAATCAATGACGACCCCCTCTAAAACATGGGTGCAAAATTGATGAGCAGATATTTTCTTTTCGTCTTTCGATTCCTATTTTGAAACTCAAGGGGAACTACTCTAGATTATGCAGAACGAAAACGCAGGAAGGTGTATTCATTCATAGTAAATATTCTTTGTCATGGTTTCATTCGGAACTTTTTACATTCGGAACTTAGTAGACATGGGCCTCTCGGAAATTCGAATTTAACCAGCAATGCCAAAGCATTCGAACACATTTCCTTGGCTGAGGTAGGCGTTTACAAATATTGATAAGTATTCGACATACCTTGATGTACAAACAGAGGGCAACATCGCGTTTTATCGGTCGCAGCTTGTAGCGCTAGTGATGTTAATGCTGCATGTGTAGGTACAAGTCTAAAACTTGTATTAAATGTTAAGATTTTAATTTCAGCTTCATGATGATGTCGACATTGAGTTCCCCATACACAAGTATGCAGTTACTGACAACTTATGGAGTGACCTGTACAAACGAGAGGATTCCGATGACTTTCTGGAGACACTTGACATGCTGATGGGTGTATATAAAGTTACATATCAAGGTAGAAATACTATTTAATATATTTTGAATGATATTATAATTTAGTTCTTGACAATGTTATCAGTTTAATCTCCTATTTCTTTAGGAGCTGACCTGGTTCAAAACCTTCTGGATACATCTCTGGCAGAAAACCACTCCTACAGATGTACAACCCCTAAATTTCAAAGCTACAATAATGGTAAGTTATTCATGTTTTTTTATTGGACAGGGGTTTTCTTACTGAATACTTCTTTCTTGGTAAATTATACTAATACAATGTTGATCCATTCCACAGACCACTGATGCAAAATTAAGCATGGGGTCCTTGTCACATCCCTAGTTTATGATGGTTTAGATTAATGTAACAAGTTTTTTGATTAGTCAAAATCCCCACCCTTTAATTCTATACACTACAGACCAAACATACTTCCTGCCCTAATGAATGTACAGTGTGTAAAATGTTTCATTATTTATTTCATCCAGGCTTTTCGCAACCTTCACCCAAGATCAGGTAAAAGTGAGACAACCCCTCTTGGCAGTGCAGATAATAAATGGAGAAAACAGTGCCAGGCGGTGTTGAAACCTGCAGATCCATCCCGTGTAAGTGTCACTTAGAGCATGTAATGAAGCAGTTCAACTTATAATTCATTGTTGTCCTTTTTTCCCCTGTGTTCTTCAACCTATTAATATATGCATCCATTGTTTTTTACGTGTGCTCTTTCTATTCAATTTACTTAATTTTCCCTTTCCAGCATCATTTTGGTGGTCGTTTCAAAGTTCACCTTGCAGTAGCTGCAACATCTGACAGATGTTATCGCCTCATCCTTGAGATCATGGATTTATTAAGCCTTGGTAAACTAAAGGAGCAGAAACATACAAAAGTGAACACATGTCTGTTCTTGGAGACTGTTTCATTCAAAGATGAGGCAACCCTTTACAGACTGTTGACAGAATTCAGAAACAGTGAAATCTCCAAAGAAGAATTCAATCTTCAACTGAAACAGATTAAACAAGCAAACAAGGTATAAGAACTGAATCAGATCTACACTTTGATTAAACAACAAATAACAAATAAACAAATAAAAGCGACGACGTTTCAAATGAAATATTCCCGTGCTTCAAATACTCAATAACACCCGGAAATTGGCCAACACATGATGTTTATCTCCTAATTAAAATGCAAAACCTAGTAGTCTGTTCATCACGATACACATACCTAGTCTGTTCAGTTCATTGTACGAACCTAATCTGTTCAGTGCAGTATAAGTACCTAGTCTGTTAATCACACATGATGTTTATCGACATTGTAAACACAAAAGTAAACATTGACATCGAGTACGGGTACAGCATCGAAATGTCATCAGTCGGCCGTTCGGCTGTCTCCCATGATAGCATCTGGAACTGCTCAATTGTGACGTCATGCAGACTTTACGTCACAATATGATTCGAATGACGTCATCACAGCTGACGGCGTAACAATACAATGATGTGAGCGATGTTTGTACGTATTAATACGCAGCAAATTTCCGGGAATGGTATACTATTCGATCATGTTTTTCAACTAATCAGATTAAAGAACACTTTTGGTTTACAATTGTTTTTAGCAACTTGATTAAAACGTGTATATCTTGACAACCTGAAGTCCATTTCAGTGCATGTATCTTGACATCTGAGTCCCATTTCAGTCTACTTATCGTGACATCTGACTCCGATTCCAGTATATGTATCTTGACAACCTGACTCCAATTTTAGTGCATGTAACTTGACAACCTGACTCCCATTTCAGTATATGTATCTTGACAATCTGACTCCCATATCAGTATATGTATCTTGACAACCTGACTCCCATTTCAGTGCATGTAACTCGACAACCTGACTCCCATTTCAGTATATGTATATTGACAACCTGACTCCCATTCCAGTATATGTATCTTGACAACCTGACTCCTATTCCAGTATATGTATCTTGACAACCTGACTCCTATTCATGTGTATGTATCTTGAACACCTGACTCCCATTTCAGTGTATGTATCTTGACAACCTGACTCCCATTTAATTGTATGTTTCTTGACAATCTGATCCCGATTTCAGTTTATGTATCTTGACAACTGACTACCATTTGCAGTGGGTGTATCTGCACAATTTGACTCTCATTTAGGCATCTCAGTATAGGCATTTTGACGACCAGACACCCATTTACTATAGATTCTACGTCCCTATTCCGTACCTCGGAATCCCATGAGATGTTCGCATGCGCGTAACTACCAGTGCGCTTTTGCTAAGGTTTGGAATTTGACTTGAAGAATAAAGCTTACCATTTTGTATTAGTTATATAGTGATTAAGAAGGGCTTTGGATTTTCATTGTGCTGATTGCCTTAGGATATTGTCGAGGATCGATTGTGCTAGTTGGTTCGAGGAATCGTCACTTCAAGAAGAAGGAATTTGACTTTATCGTTTTCACCTAAACGGCCACGGGTCGTGGTGAGCACAATAGCTACCCAAAGGGGTCAGATACTGAGTGATATTTCTGCCGATGAGAGCGACTTATTTGACTCTTTGCTCAATAGTTGTTATCAAGAAAAGTTTGATAATGACACTAACAACGAGGATGACATTAGTGTCATCAATGAGCTTGTCTGCGACTAGAGGGATGTCTTCGGTAATGACGAAGACACCTCTGAGAAAATCCGGACCGACCTCGCCCAAACAGTGAATGACAGTGTGTCCAAACAGCCAACCATGGCGAAAATCAAAACAGTTATGGGTCGATACAAACGGCCAGAAAACTGTGACGGTTTGACTGTTCCCCGTATCAAATGAGAAAATTTGGCATCAAACCAAAGCCCACACCAAGTCCAAGGACTTAAAATCACAATACCTGCAAGGTTTGCTCATAAAGGCTATGGTTCCCCTGGTGCAAATAACAGATTCCCTGATGGCAGTGGTGACAGACGGGAAAGAACTCGACATGAAGGGGACCATGACAAACGCCATGCATCCCATTCAGACCTCAACATGAAACGTCGAGAGACCTTTAAGCACGATCTCAGTGGACCATTCAAGAGACTCTGTTCCGCATCATCAGGTCCAACTACAAAGTATCCGTTTGGTGATGACCTCTCCAAACGGATAAAGGAAATATCTGAGGCTAATCACCTCGGGAGGAAGATCTCCCAACAAAACACCAGGGAAAAACCAAAAAGCTATCCCAGATATAAACCATATGCCACCAATCGATAAGGGCAGACATTCAACAAGAACACTCCATCCCACAACAGAGGGAAATCAGCAGCCTGAGGTAGAGGATAACACCATAATGCTTTTTAAGCAAACGCCAGAGGGACTACCCTCGGAACTGAACACTGACCTCCCCACAGGGGATAGTGTACATGAGGTGAGAACTCAACATGCATACTTCACTGCCTGATAGCCTGAGAATTTTATGGTAGGCAAGACCAGTCAATTTTTTACAATTGGTACGAGTTTACCTCAGATCAATGGATGTTATCTAGTATTGCAGGGGTTACTTTAGACTTTATTGAAGTGCCTGCGCAGTGGTATACCCCTCACAGCAATCGACTGAATCATGAGACAGTTACAAGTTTTGTAACTTTTCTCTCTCCTTTCTTCTTATCATAAGAGTACTGCAGGTGCCTCTTCCCATAGCTCAGCATCTTGGAGATACTTTCAGCTTGATGTCCTTTTCTGTTTGGAGAATGCCGGACACCTTAAACGTCAATACTTCCTGTAAACAAAATATTTACGTTTATATTTCTGTTGATCTTCACATTTAGTCGCGTAATTATGAAGAACACGTATTATGCTGAACATCATTGTAAGAATTAATTATTGACTACTTAATGTTATGACTGCGCCACAGAGGCGTATCATGTTATGAGTAGGACATCACGACACTGGGGTAGTTAAGTCCATTATGATCATCAGACAAGGTGCGTACATCGTGATGAATAGACTAGGTACGTGCATCGTGATGAACAAACTAGGTATGTACATCGTGATGAACAGACTAGGTACGTGCATCGTGATGGACAAACTAGGTGCGTACATCAAGAAGAACAGACTAGGTGCGTACATCAAGATGAACAGACTAGGTGCGTACATCATAATGAACAGACTAGGTACGTGCATCATGATGACAGACTAGGTACGTGCATCGTAATGAACAGACGAGGTACGTACAGCATGATGAACAGACTAGGTATGTATACTGTGATGAACAGTAACATCTCCAAACCCCTACAGCCTATAAACCCTACAGCTTTTAACAACAAGTTCATGGTCCAGTGCACTGCTAATCGTGTTGTTGCTTATTTCATACACTGGACCTTCCCAAACACTTAGAAATTAGGAGAATTATTTCAATAAGCAATAACAAACCTAAGACTTTGAAAGAATGGTTTTAATGTGCGAGGGTCGATCAAGTACGTAGCCTAACTATATTCTCGATGTCCAATGTTTGAAAAGCTTTCATTTTGTTTTGAAGGAATCGTTAGCAATAAATTTCACTTATGTGGTTAATGTGGTCAACCAGATATTTGTCTTCACAACACAAAAATGAAAACGATTTGTTTTTTGATACCTCCTGGATAATGGTATGCCCTTTAGATAATGTCATATAAAATATCTTCAGTCCCGTCATGATCAACAGTCAAAGATTTAGATTGCCTGATTTATATTTTGTCGGGGGCTATTTTTTAAGGACAACCCCATTTTAAGCTTTCAAAAACATTGTGTCCAGATATTCAAGCTGGCACTGTTTACAATATATTGTGAGCTGACACTTGTGTGACCATTCAGTATGTAGTTTGAACCCTTGGCATCATGTATGCATAAGTGAAAACATAAGAATAAGCTATGCCCTTATGATTACGTCATCTGAAAGGGGGATCGGTAGTGTCCCCAAAACAAGCTCTTTCAGTCAACATGAAGGGGGGAGTCACTTTAACAAGCGATTGTAATTTCAAATTGCTTATTTATGAACTTTTATATCTAAGTGTGATTCTAGGGGACTTCTATCAGTCTCAAACACAAAATATTTCTTGTATATTTTGTTTCCTGAAGTTTTTGATTCATTTATTGTAGATTTTGCGTTTTTTGAGGGTACCAAGATAAAAGGTCAAACAAAATGGGGATCGTGAGACTGGAACATAGCAAAACCAAATTGCTTGAGCTTGATGAACAGACACGGTACGTTCATCATAACGTAATAAGGGGCACTTATATTGCATTTATCAGTATTTAATTCGTCAGATATCTGTGATTTCTTGTCGACAACGTGTCAAATGCTGTTTAGTTTCGAATTTCGGCCACCCGTGATGGTCCGGGTTAGAATATTGATCTTCAGTAACCCATGCTTGTCGTAAAGGGCGACGAACGGGATCGGGTTGTCAGGCTCGCTGACTTGGTTGACACATGTCATCGGTTCCCAATTGCGCAGATCGATGCTCATGCTGTTGATCACAAGATAATCTGGTCCAGACTCGATTATTTACAGACCACCGCCATATAGCTGGAATATTGCTGAGTGCGGCGTAAAACTCAACTCACTCACTCACTCACTCGAATGTGGGCCAACATTCGCATGTCCGATGTCGTGAGAGAGCGTAACCTCCCTTGAGCCACTGATAAAGCGGTTTCGCCCTACGTTGTTACTTGCCATTAACTGTGATAGCTCTAAACTCGGAAAACGGGTATAACGTTTATCAATGAACTGTTTTGAGGATACAACGGATATATTAGTCAGAAATGCTATTTTGTAAATCACAAAACTGGTAACTTGTGTGTTCTCGACAGATCGCCAGAAATCGTTCCATCCTTTTAGTTACATCTGAATCTCGCCAGTTCAATGTGATAGGGTTTTATAGTTACTTTAGGTAAGCAGTGCTTTCCATGAAAATATTCTTAAAGAGGGAATATGTTGAGCATTAAATTCGATGTATAAGGTTTCAAATTAAGGAATCATTTGAATGTACATTTATGTAATTGTCTACACCATTAAAACACTTCTAAATGTTAGAAAACGGTTACTTTTAAAAGTAAGAAACTCTAGAGATCAGATGTGATAATCACTGCTTGCCTTCGGAGTTTGGATTCCCATGCTGACAATGATGCAGATGACAATCGTTGAGATGTCGAAAGAGATGATGATGATGATGATGATGATGATGATGATGATGATGATGAATACACAAATACTTATACCTGTGTGTCAGGCATACGTTCAAACTTCACAGCTCTCAGAACATGAACCAGGGCTATTTTAGCCTCAATCAGAGCCAGACGCATCCCAATACAAATTCGTGGACCGTATCCGAACGCCAAGAAGGACAGTGGGTTTGATTTTTCATCATGTCTGAAAAATATCACAGTAAATAAAATATTGATAAATGCGCTGATAAATATCTCCAGTCATGTATTACACATAATCTGTCTGCTGATGTAAAGGCATAACTGAACTGAACCATATTAAGCTAAGAAAGAGGATATGTTGAAGCACGCTGAGATAAGAAAGGGGTCTTTTAAAGATCTGACAGCAACTGATCACAGCATCGGTGTGTGTACATGCGAATGTATGCTGGTGAAACAATGCATGTAGGTGGGCTTCTGCCGGGTCAATACGTGGGGTCACTACAGCGGTACCATTTAGATACGTTTGGCGGTTTGCATTACCTTTCAGGTTTGAAGGAATCTGGATCTTTGAAGAGCTTAGGGTCTCTCTGTAGTGCAAATGTAGGCACAGAGACAGTTTGACCCTCATAGACTGTCAGGTCCTTGATCTGAATATTCTCAGAAGCTCTGCGATGCAATCTGAAATAAACAATCAATTCTGAATATGTTTTAATATGAACTTCACGCGGTATATTGTTTTTCCATTGGACGAATATGACCATGACGTATAAGTGTATGATAGACTGGGACACCCCTTGCAAAACAATATCCCATCTCGTGTCTACTGCACACTGTAAATATTGATATATCTGCTGATCAGATTTTACTTATAAAAAGGTGTATGTAATGTATGTCTTAATTAGAAACGAATTGGACTTCTATACACTGAGCATAGATTAAATTGCCAACCCTATTTCACCAAAGACTTCCTAAACACTGTTGAAATTCTAAATATTGTCTTCATGTGAACTTCACACGATATACCTTTTTTTCCATTGGATGAATACATTGGACAGTGACACATAAGTGTATGATAGACTTAGACACCCCCTTGCAAAACAATACCCCATCTCTACTACACACCGTAAATAACAGGAAAAGCACTTTATTGTCATGCAGGTGAATGCACGCTAAACAAAGTAAAACGGCAGATGTCGAGGCTTTGATTATGATGATTTTATTCATACGCGCAGGTTGTGGAACTTGAACAATTGTTTGTTGCCTTTTAGATATAACAATAAACATTTCTTGTATGTAAATAGGCATACTTTACTTTGCCATCTAACATACTTTACTTTGCCATCTAACATACTTTACTTTGCCATCTAACTTTGCCATCTAACATACTTTACTTTGCCATCTAACATACTTTGAGACGCCTATATTCAATATATCTCCCTCAAGTCAATTCTTTGTGTCCTGTTTCTTATCCAACATAAATGGCACCTGCCACGACTGGGCTTCAATTTGTATTATTTTTTTTTTAACTTACGCAATAACAGGTGGGTAGAGTCTGAGCGTTTCAGTGATGATGTTGTCCAGATACTTCAGTTTCCCAGTGTTGTCGTAGTTTGGTTCCTCCTAGGATAGAGGAAAAAGACTATGTCTGCTACTGACTGTTACCTTATGTGAGAGATTCATCGAGAGCTTCAAGCAGAATTTCTTTTAACATTTTTTCTTCTGTTTCTGTATTCCTATCATCGTGTTGTTTCCGCAATGTTTCATGAGATAAAACGACCATAAACTCAACACTGCGATCTTGACCTACGAGAAGTACACGAACATTCTCTAATTCGCAAATCCCTGAGACGATCCTTGCTCTGACTATATCAGGGGAAATCGTCACTTCGGCAGAACTTCTTGTGACATTGTTTCTTCAGTTTCTGAACAAGTATTCCTACCATCGTGTTGTTTCACGAGATAAAACGACCATAAACCCTACATTGCAATCTTGGATTACGAGAAGTACACGAACATTTCATAAATCTCAAATCCCTGAGACGATCCTAGCTATGACTAGATGAGGAGAAATCGTCACTTCGATATAATATTTACAATTGTCTTTTCACTTGACAATAACAATAATGTTTCCGAATGAATCCCTCTAATGCGGGTGTGCTCGTTATATCATAAGGTTAAGTGTGAACTTATCAAAGCACCCAAGCGTTCATACTGACATTCCCAAGCATCTCTTTGATTTCATTATATGCCTTCTCCTGTGCATCCGGATTCATGGCGAGACTGTGTGATGCAAAGTTCAGCGTGGAAGCCGTTGTTTCGTATCCAGCAACGAAGAACAATATCCCTTGGCCAACTATTTCATCCGTTGTTAAACCTGTAAAAGTAATCGTACTATGGAATATGCACACAGGGTTTTCTATTAGACACTTAACGCCTCGCACAGTTTCATTACAGATATAATGCAGTGAACAATCGAGTGTGGATCACGTTGTCGATGCATGGTGATATGCAATACACGAAGGCACTGCCCGCCACATGAGTGACATACTGTTCAAAGCCACGTTCACACTCAGCAGACTCAGAGGTGTTTCTGTACTCACGTCTGACTGTTTGTTTCTCTGAAGCCTGCCCATTGGTTACATGACCGTTTTCTTGTTTAACTGTATCATCCGTTATCTCAGCGTCCACCAAGAGTTGTAGGAAGTCGATTCTCTGCTGTAAATACCATATGCTTTCTTGTGGGACTCTTATAAAAGAATGTATTTAATGTCTAATATAGGTTGAATTAATGGATAATGATAAACCTATGCGGTAACCATGACGAGACAAGCAGACTGTGGAACAGAAAATCAATTCCATTAACCTATATTCACACCTGTATATCAAGACACATTATGATAAATAGACCACAACAAAGAGCCAGCGTTCCACAGTTATATCTAACCTCTCGGTTTTCCTTTGAGTCGTTCTGTCGTTGTTTGATCATTTCCACGATGTTTGCTTGAAAAAAACTCATGACGCTGTTCCGAAAAAATCGGACTCCAAGTTTCCGGATAACCCACACCAATGGTGGACAGAAGACTGCAAAAGAGGAAAACAAGTGAATTATGTTTCAACGATTGTGGGATTGGCAAATAATTATGACGACGTGACATCTTAGTGTGGGAGGAGACCGCGAGGAGATCCGGGCTTTCAGCAACCCATGCTTGTTGCAAAAGGCGACTGACGGGATAGGATGGTTTCTTTTAATGTTTGCCATCGTTTCCCAACTGTGTAGATCGTTGTTCATGATGACAGTCACTGGATTGTCCGGTCCAGACACGATTATTTACAGACCGCCGTCATATAGGAGAAATATTTTTCAGTGCGACGTAAAATACAACAATTTGTTGGGCGTTTTCAAGTCACAGATAAACTACTAGCTTAGGTTTGAACACATGATATAATAATTCCTTCTGTCAGAAATATTTTCTGTAAATGTACAGAAAGTTATTCCCTATTTGTTTATAGGGTATTGGTTGATCTTTGACACGATCATTTGGTATTACATTGGGTGACCCCTGTAATGTCTCTCTCCTTGTATGGGGTCGTTTTTATGAAACTATGGAAATATAAAATGCCATGAAGATTTCTTCAGGTCAAATCATTTAGTGTACTGTTACATTATTCTCTTTTATCGGTTGAACCACTTGCGTAAATTGTGGCAATTGTGATATGCTCCTTGATTAAACAAAACACCCCATCCAGACAAGGCTGTTGAAGGAAGAGACATGTCTGTAAGAAGTATGTAACTTACGTGCTATCATTGGTAGTAGTCGTTTTGGCTTTGATTGTGTAAACACCACCTTAGCATTAGCGACAAATTCATTGCTGAAATCGTTCTGAGAATCGACTTTTATACCAAAGGCAGTCCGTGCAATCACGTCCATGGTGTAAGCTCCAAAGTAACTGAAAAGTATTGCAACATATATATATTTTTGAATGAGATAAATACAAGATCGGACTGGAACAAATTTACATCAGAAAGGGCCACGCTCTGCAAAATGTGCTTATAAATTAACAACAGGGATGAAATGGCGTACATGGTTTTAAGATGAAAATTAATGTTTTAGTCGTTAGCCAGGGCGTTCAGCGTTCAGATAAAGCATTGCTATAATGCAATCTCGCCCCTTTAACGCACGTCCAAGAAGAAGAAGAATACCGAATACAAAAGCTTGCAATATTAATAGCATCTGTGCTTGAAACCTAATACTCGAGTTAAAGAATATCCATTTCTTCGCATTTGATGTTAACACAATACTTACTCTTTCATGATCACCCCTTCCTTTTTCCCAATGGCTTTAGAGAAATTAGTTGTGAGAGTCGTTGAGCAATCGTTGATGGCAGCGCACATCTAGAATCCCAAAACATAACCTATAGAATGTATTGAAATGGTATATATAATACGCCTATGGACGAAAGGACAGGTTCGCGTCAGATCCGTGACAGTATAGTGTGACATGTTTGTTTCTGATACGGATTTTCTAACCGGGATATTTACCCTACATAAAGAGCTACAGTGGCTCACCTTCCTCAGTTTGCCGCTGCTGAAGCTCGGTGTTAAGATGCTTCTCACCCTCCGCCAGTGCTCATCGTTCAAGAAAAACAAGCCCAAATTTAATGGATAGGCCACGAGTGTGAATTTCTGGAAACATATTGAACAGCAACTTTAACACAAGACATGCATGTAACATTCAGTTGTAATAATCCCACCATGACAGTGAATATCACGTTTAACAGATCTCTATTTAATAATTGGAGATATATTTTTCCCAGATAGTCCGTTACAATAATAGCGTAATTGCCTCTGCGACAATGTCATAGGTAAGATACTTGAAAGAATTGTTTACCATCCTGTTTCTGAAAGTGTTGAAGCTCTTGACAAACACCTCCTTCAGAATGTCCAGATCCGATATAACATAGGCTGGTGTTCTTCCAATAAATATGCTAAGGTGAAGAAACAACATGGTATGAAAAAACGTAACATTACATTTGCTTGTTATATATTGGATAACGGTTTGCCATTCCAACAATGTCAACTAGTTGTGACAGTAACAACTTGACTAATTGAATGAGTAGTTTGTTATACAGCAGTTATTTCATGCCGCGTCGCAACTTATTACATACAGACCAGGTGAATCAACGACCAGAAACGACACCCGAGCAAGATGTCACACAATCTGTTATGTCACTAAGCCAGACCATCCGTTCTATTTTAGTCGACTAGCTTACTCCATGGGGACTAGTTCCATCCCGGAATCCCAACTGGTAGTGATGATGGAAAGGTTTGAGTCTACCTTCAGAAACAAGTAACTGATAACAGTTGAGTTGAGTTGGGTTTTGCGTCACATCGGCATTATTCCAGCCATATAGTGACGAGAACAAGTTTGCATTAATAAACATTGTAAGTACATACTCGGAATGAGTTTTATTTCAAAAACATATATTCATTACATTGTCATTTAAAAGCAGAAAAAGTAATAGCATCAAATTTAAAGGCAGGCAATTTGTTAGTCACATTTCACAGTTACAATTTATGATAGTTACATTTCACAGTTACAATTTATGATACAGATCAACTTCCCTCAGGTACTTCACTATCAGATGAGCGCTCACGCGGGAGAACAGATCTTTTAGGTTTGTTGCATCATAATGTGAGTCGCTTGCAGACGATAAGTCCACGCATTCAAGCAGAATATGCTTGATGGTGAAAACTTCATCGCAAGAGACACACATGGGGGGTCCATCCCCATCCGTTTTCAGCAGATAGTCATGCGTAAATCGGCTGTGGCCAATACGACATCGTCGTAGAATTACCTCATCACGTCTTGACTGACAACCCAAGTAGGTATAACCAATTGTTGGTTTCAATTCATACAGTTTATTTCTTCCTACTTGAGTCCCATCGTTTTTGCATCAGGTCCCGAGTATAGCTTTTGATAGTGGGTTTGAAATCACTGTACGGGATCAGCAGTGGAGCTAAGGGCTTGTCAAGAGCTGCTTTTGCTGCAGCATCGGCCTTGGTGTTACCTGCTATGCCGACGTGACCCGGCAACCAGCAGAGGACGATGTCGCATTGGCCAGTAGAGAGGTCGTTATAAAGTTCTAAAATGTCCAGAATGATGGGGTGACTTGAAGTAACATTTTGAAGTGCTTGAAGCGAAGATCATGAATCTGTGAAAACGATGAAGTTTTTGGAATGATTCTGCTGTTTAATATAGGTCAGAGCTGAAAAGATAGCTTTGGCCTCGGCTGTGAAAATGGAACTGTTGTCGGCAATCCTAGAGGAGACAGTCTAAGATCCAATGACTGAGCACTGGCGACTTGGCCCTCATCCTTGGAACCGTCTGTGAAAATGGATCTATGGGTGTCATACTTGGAACGTAACTGGATGTATTCCTGCTGGAACACCAAGGGATTTGTGTCAGACTTTTGGAATTTAGTGAGGGTAAGATCGACCTGTGGTTTCACCATCTGCCAGGGTGGTGAAGACAGGAGTCGGTAAGGTGCTATGCTATTGAGATCAATTTTAGCTGCAGATATGTGTGGTTGAATTCTGATTCCAAGTGGTGGAACCAGGCTTGGCAGTTTAGCAAACAAGTTTTCATAGAGAGGGTTGAAAACACAATTGTATGCTGGATTGGACTGATTTGAACGTAGTTTAGTGATATACTGCAGTGAAAGTTTAATGCGGCGTTGTTGAAGGGAAGGTTCGTTAGCCTCTGCATATAGACTGTCTACCGGAGAGGTCCTAAAAGCTCCCAGGCAGAGCCTCAGGTATACAGAAGTAGATGAGGCCAAGACATAAAAACTTCAGATACATTATCTTTAAAATGTAACATTGCTAACATTTTGGAAAACTATTAGTAGATTTAGTGTGTCAGTAAAAAATTGTCGTCGCATTGGCATTATTTCAGCCATATAGCGACTAGTCCAAGTCTGCACACATATATAGGAATTTTAGTACAGATTTTAAAGGAGAATACATATGTACAGTAATACTTACACTTTGAGAATGTCACCATACGAAATTTAAACACAGGCAACAGAGTATATGTAAACAACAATAATAGCCATATGTCACCTGTGTATTACCTGATCTCTGAGAACCCTCAATATGACTTTGAGTGAAGAAAGTTCCTGTTGTGTTGGTTTGCTTCACATATCCCAGTTATCACCTACATTATTAACGTCTGAGGTCTCCCTTGCGTCGGGTCACTCATTCTAGAAACAACTGGGATGAGAAAAGGTTTCTGCATACTAGTAACCAAACCAGTAGCTTCGCGCATTGTTGCCGATTGCAATGCATGCAATGTCGAGAACAGGATGCTGGTTCTGCTGTCCAGATTACCCGGAAGACAAATCAATAAGTGTATGAGATGCACCTACCCATATACATTTCCGTACTTTCGGTTCCATTCTTTGAATTTGTGGAAGAATAACTGTAAATAGAAAAATAACATAGGTTTTCTGCATTCTACGTCCTTTCTGAAAAATGGCGCCATGGACTGCAGCTCGTCTGGATATATGACCAGCAGTTTAGATGTCAATATAGAGAGACAATGATATGCATATATTTTCACTACAGCAACGAGGATTGTGGAATAAATATGAGAACTAACTATATGAACTGCTGCCCATAGTGTCACTTGGTCTGCGAGTAAACATGTTTTATCAACATCAATTTCGAGAACTTCTGTATCTATACAATGCACATACAAGCACAGCTTTCTGAAGCTGAACATGATATTCATATACATTAGAGCAGACGAGACCTGCAAGTATAATTTCCCAAATGTGAAACGCAGAACTATCTATACAATGCACATACAAGCACAGCTTTCTGAAGCTGAACATGATATCCATATACACTAGAGCAGACGAGACCTGCAAGTATGATTTCCCAAATGTGAAACGCAGAACTATCTATACAATGCACATACAAGCACAGCTTTCTGAAGCTGAACATGATATTCATATACACTAGAGCAGACGAGACCTGCAAGTATGATTTCCCAAACGTGAAACGTTCTGCGTTGCTTCTTTTTATATTATACACAAACATGTCGCCATGTCCTGTGAAAAACAACCTAACATCTGGTCATTCATTTTAAAGATAATGTTTTATATATATATATATATATATATACAATTTCATCACCAATGTTACACGAATAATTAACTCAACCTACAAGAGAGAAGCTGTTTCCTAAAAGAGGGAACGGTTTTGGTCCAGAGATGCCCTGTTTTTTGAAGTAATTGAAGTTCCAGGTTCCATGTCTGAAAAATATGCATCATTATATTGTCTTGCACAAGTCCCAACTTACGATTATATCCACAATTCAAGTCACATCCACACTTTAGACAAGTTGTTCAAATGAAAGCGTATTTCTATGGACGCGTATTTCTACGACGTTCTAAAGATTCAGTTTGGATGATAATTTCTTCTTCGCAGATGATCCCTGTATTTACGGAGGGTAAACACTAGCGAGCCTCTATTCCCGCCCCTCATGTCATTTCTAGCTTTTTATGGTCTGTTTCGAAGTCTACATCCATTGGCGTGATATAACCCCAGTGCTATTCAAGGCGATAGAAGGCGATCCCAGCACATGTAACGTACGTACATATAGTATGACCAGAAATTATTGAGAATTTTAGGAATTTGGTTAAATGGATTTCTAATATAAACAACCTTGACCAGCTATCAAGTGCTTGGTTTCATTCAAGAGAGACAACTCCGTTAATCCTTTTTCATTAGTTTGTGAGAGTAATCCCCCTTTGTTTACTTGCTAGCAGACGACATTTTCAGTGATCCTCAGTATAGTGGATTTAGAGAAGAGGAATTTGATTTTAGAGAATTATATCAAGGACATCAGATCAGCTAAAGTGATTTCAAGTAGAAAAGGCATGCCTTTGTCCACTGTTTATCGTCTTTTGACTGTCTGACTGACTGACTGACTGACTGACTGAGTTTGGTGTTACGCCGCTTTTTGCAATATTCCAGCAATATCACGGCGGGGGACACCAGAAATGGGCTTCACTCATTGTACACATGTGGCGATTCTAACCCGGGTCTTCGGCGTGACAAGCCAACGCTTTAACCACTAGACTACCCCACCGCCCCTTATCGTGTTTTGAAAAATATTGCAAATGGATATGGCATTGAGCACCAGGGAGGCGCAGGTAGGCCCAGAAAATTGACTGTCGGTGACAGGAGGCGGCTTGGTATTCTTGTTTCTAAAAACAAAAAAGGAGTTTAGAAAACTTAAGGCTTGATATGATTGATAGAGGAACTGTGGCTGTCTGTAAGGAGACAATGAGGAAAGAGCTGCGTGCAATGGGTTGGCAGAAAAGTCGACAGTTTCCATCATCGATCATGAAACCTGAACAAAAGGTGCCAAGGTTGAACTGGTGCTTACAGCATAGAAAGTTTAACTGGGACAATGTGATTTTCTCAGATGAAAGTTCTGTGTGGCTGTTTCCTAATACACTGAAATTCTGGATCAAACAAACTGAAAAACCTATGTATCAGCGCCCAAAGTACAGTCCGAAATTTAACGTGTGGGGTGGCATATCTGTGTTAGGGGCAACGCCCCCTCTGTGTATTTGAAGGGAATATGAACAGTGAGCGGTACACAGATATTCTAGAGGGACATTTACTTTCATCTGTGGCACCCATGAAGGGCCACCTCCTCGTGGTGGGTGCTGGGTAACGCTAAGCGCCCTTCAACCCCCGTTGTGGACCCGGGGGGGAAATTTGGTCCACCAACCCGTTTGCCGTGGGTTGCGCCCCTGTGTCGGTGGAGGACGGGATTCTGGTGGTTGAGGGCAAGGGTTCCAGGAACAGCGTTCCTTTGCCCAATACACCACTTCGACCCTTACTTCACCTAGACGGGTGGTAGAATGGGCCCGGTTCTACCAATCGGCTGGTCACGCCAGGCCCTGTGCATAGTGGGTATAATTGCACAAATTTGATTTGTTATTTGGTCTTGGCTTTTCAAAATTTCAGTTATTCATGATATTATATTGCCTAGAGTCCTATGCCAGAAGGCGGTGGCTCATGGGCCAATCTGGTGATGTTGACCGCTGAATTCTGTATGTTTATAAGTTATTGTTATGGGCAGAACCAGCCTGACAGTGAACTTATTACACAGATATAGCAATTCATGTCATATTTGCTGGAGTATAGCACCCCTGTATCCCTGGTGTTTGCATGCTGGAGACCCAATGCTGTGAGACACCGTCCTCGTTGACACTCCATGGTGGGTGGGGAGCAGGGTTGTCGAATCTCTTTGATATAATCATGGCTCACAATCACTCTGGTTCTAACCGAAATGAAAAAAAGAGACGTTTGGAAGCTGAGATATTGTCGTCTGATGATGATGTTTCTCTTCCACAAAATTCTAATTCTTGGGCACGATTTGTTGTTGTTGAATCTAAGAATGGTCTTCCGTTAAAGATCAACCCGTTTGCAATTTCCAAGGCAATCGAAGGTATTTGTGGTGAGGTGATAAATGTTTCACGTCTCCGAGGCGGCTCCCTCTTGATTGAGTGTGCACGGAGGCAGCAAGCTATTAACCTTTTGAAATGTTCCACATTTGCAAACACTGAAGTTTCAGTTTCTGAGCACAGAACTTTAAATTCGAGTCGAGGGATCATCCGCGACAGAGCCCGTTGTCTCGCGGAAATGACTGAGGAAGACATCTTAAAAGAACTTTCTGGACAATATGTTACCTCAGTGAAACGCTTCATGAGAAGAGATGGAGATGTATCTGTTCCAACAAATACATATTTGTTCACATTTTCACTGACTGCTATCCCGACATCCATTAAAGCTGGCTATTTCAACATCGGAGTGGATGTATATGTACCCAATCCGCTCCGGTGTTACAATTGTCAGAAATTTGGACATGGTTCAAAATTCTGCAATCGACCTTCTGCGTGCCCTCGGTGTGGAGGTAATCATGAAGGCAGTGGTTGTAGAGCAGAACTGAAATGCGTGAATTGTAAGGGTCAACATGACGCTGCTTCTAAATCTTGTCCTTTGTGGATACTTGAAAAGGACGTTTTGACAGTGAAATGTCAAAACAACATTTCCTTTCAAGAAGCTAAAAAAGTTGTCACGAGCCGTTCACCTCCCTCAACGCAAACTTATGCTGCAACTGTCTCTCACTCTCACGCACCTTCCACTAAATCTGTAGAATGTCAAACTGACTTGACATGGGCAAAATCCGAACACCCTCAGCCTGTTTCTAAATCGTCGAACAGTCAAGCAATTTCTACAGACAGTCAACAACGTAACATCCCTTCAACATCTCAGTCCATTCCAGCTCCTGAAACATCAGATCTGGAAAAATCATCAACTGACCTGTCCAAAAAACAAAAGAAGAAACAAAATAAGAAAATTACAACGAAGATTGCCACTCCTGTTGAAACATCAGTGGAACTTCAAAATTTCTTTGAGCCATTAGAGATGGATGTTACTCCATCTACCTACCATAACACTTCTTCACGTTCACGTGAAAGGACTCCAATCGAACCACCATGACCTATTCCAATCTACTTCAGTGGAATTGCAGAGGACTTAGGCATAATTCTAATGAATTGCAATTATTAACTCAAGATATAAATCCCTCAGCTATATGCTTACAAGAAACATATCTCAAAAACACAGATAAATTTGATTTGAGGCAATACATTTCATTTCAGTCCTTTTCCCCTCCTGGTGATAAGGCTACTGGAGGCGCTTCTATTTTGGTGCGACAGGGCATCATTCATAGTCCTGTTCCCTAAATACAAATCTGCAAGCTGTGGCAGTTCGGCTCACCTTGCATATTACATTAACACTTTGCTCTTTATATCTTCCTCCTTCTTTGGGTCTTCATCTGAGTGAGCTTCAAAGCTATACGACCAGCTCCCAAAACCATGTATAATCATGGGGATCTAAATGGGCACAATCCTTTATGGGAAAGTCCATCCATTAATCAAAAAGGAAAAGTGATCGAGGATTTTATATCTAATAATGACCTGTGCATCTTTAATGATGACTCAGAAACTTACCTACATCCTGCTTCAGGTACGTATTCGTCACTAGATTCTGTCTCTTGCAGATTCAAATTTGTTGAATGAATTCACATGGTCAGTCCACGATGACCTCTGTGGAAGTGACCACTTTCCAACCATTTTGAAACCTGTGTCCCCATCTGACGTTCCTCCGTCATCACGATGGAATTTTAAAAAGCTGATTGGCTTTTATATGAAACGCTTTGCACTAGCAAATTGAAACCTGCACTTTTCATGGGCACTCTTGATCCCATAAAATGTTTCTCTGATGAACTCAATATAATTGCTGATGAATGTATTCCTAAGTCCTCTGCTGTTGCTCACATACGAAAACCATGGTTTGATGACAACTGTAAACAAGCAAGGAAGGCACGGAAAAAGCTGAACACTATTTCCGTCGCCATCCTATGGTCCATAATCTCAATAAATTTAAGATCTTAAATGCCAAAGCTCGGCGTACTTTTAAAACAAAGTAAACGTCAATCCTGGAGAAATTATGTATCAAACATCAATTCACGTACACCCATGTCCAAGGTTTGGAATATGGTACAAAAAATCAAAGGTAAAGGCTCTAAAACTGGCATCCGCCATCTTAAAATGGAAATGAATTATTAACAGATACTTCAGATATTGCAAATAAACTAGGTGAAACTTTGGCTAAGCACTCTTCCTCCTCTAACTATGTACCTAAATTTCAAAACTATCAACAGCAACAAGAAAAGTATCCTATTAATTTCAACACGGATAATGGGGAAGACTATAATGAATTATTTTCTATTCATGAGCTTCATAAAGCTCTTGACCAAGTTTCACGATATTGCTGCAGGAGCTGATAACATACATTATCAACTCCTGAAGCACCTACCAGAATCCTGTTTAGAGACACTTTTACATATCTTTGATAGTATTTGGACGTCTGGTGAATTTCCTTCTTCATGGCGTGATGCAATAATTGTTCCAATTCCAAAACCTGGACGTGATCATACCGATCCTTCTAATTATCGACCAATTTCACTCACTAGCTGCGTTTGCAAAACCATGGAACGCATGATCAATAATCGATTAGTTTGGTACTTGGAAACCAACAACTTAATAACTGATATACAATGTGGTTTCCGTAAAAACAGAAGTACAATTGATCATTTAGTGCGTTTGGAATCTTTTGTTAAAAATGCCATAATTAATAAACAACATGCAGTGTCGATCTTTTTCGATCT